TCAAAGGAACGATTTGATAGCTTTTTCTAAATGAAAGTCAGATTTACAATAAACATAAAAATCTACCCATTCACAACCTGTCAACATCATCTGTCCCATGATCTGGTAGTAATAGCTATGTGTTTTTCGAAGTTTATAAACCCCATTTACACATTTCAGATATTTCAGCTGCGAGATTGAATCCGTAATAGGGCACTTGATTTCCAGCAGCCCCCAGGGATTGTTTTCAGAGGGATCATAGACCCTTCGATCTGGAGAGGCAGCCAGATGTGGACATGATGGGTTGATAACAATCCCGGCAGGGAAAACATCAGCATATGCATACGCTGCCTCTTCTTCTGTATTAATACCATGCCTCATGGCTGCAGTTTGCACAGTCTTCTTTAGTTGCCTTGCTGCCAGTGATTCAAAGTCAGCCCTTCGGGCACAAACAACTTTAAATTTACTCAAAGATAGCCTCTGTGCCCTCAGATCATGCCACTTCTGAGTGTCAGACTGCTCCCTTGTTTCTTCCTGATATAAACAGGATTGTGCTTGTGAGACACTAAGCCCTTCAGCAAAGTTAAGTTCTGCCAAAGTAGGCACAAATGTATAATTGCTTTTAAGCAATGGTACACCAAAAGGCAGTGGCTCCTGTGGCCCCTCAACATTAATGTGAATTTTTGGATCATTGGTTGTGTTCTGACGTTGTTGGTATGATATAACTGAGCCATGAGCTACTCTCCCTAGTTTACTATTCACATAGTCCAAACTGTCAGTTTCTGGAACAATACTGTTTACTTGCATGTCTTCATATTGTTTGAATATGTCTCTCATAGAATCAATGATTTTGGGTAAACCAAAATGTTCCGGAATCGGATTATACAGAGTGGACCGTACTCCATCTAACCTGTGTATTTTCTTTTTTTGTGTTGCATCATTGCTCGGTGGTTTCACTTGCTGCACCAGCACCTCTTGCACCTCGCGGGGATTGATTCCTGCTGTCCTTTGAGGAACGTGCCATGTTTGTGGTAGACTTGTTTTTGACATGGCAGGAGGTACACTTTTTAAGCCCAGTTTTCTATAATGCTCAAGGAGGTAAACCAGCCCTATTGCATGGTTACAGAGCCCTGCACCTGCTTCACAGTTGCAGGAGGTACTGGTTATTTTAACTTCGGGAGTCCTTGATATCTCAACCTAAAAAAATTAAATGGATAAATATCTGCTGTGAATGTGTGTGTGTATGTTTTAAGAATTAACTCGTATGAAAATTACATCAAGCAAAGTTCGAGCTGAGACAAAACTTAAGTATTATAAATAAGCTTACCTGTAACCTCCATGGCTCTTCATTTTTTCTCTGTGATTTGTAGCTTCGAGCTCTAACAATTACTTCTGTATCCTGAGTATTTAGTGAAAGCAAAGTGCGAAAATGGAAGTTTAATACACTATAGATTTTGCACAAGAGATTTCGAATGGCGAATCGTGCAATAAACGAAAAAAAAGCACCATCTAAGATGCTTAAAGAAGCATGCATAGCGTGAAATCACACCAGTGTTGCAGTTAAATTTGAGACTGAAATGAAACTTTTACCTTTGACATCGAAGATATACCCTTCGCGGTATCTGGTCGTCTCACCTACGGGTCGTTTCGCCTACGGTCTGTTCGCCTACGAATAGAGTCGATTCGCCTACGTCTTATATTTCAGTTTGCCTACGAGTCAGATGTTGAAGCTTTAAATCGGAATTATTAAAAGTCTTTGTTCCTTGTATTACTCCTTCCATTCTATCCTCGATGGCTAGAAAAACAACGCACTGAAACATCTAAGTTTGAATGTTTTTAAAAACTTTATTATGGCGGAACCCGGTCGTCTACGAATGTGTGAAAGATATTTTGCTTAAAATGATTTAAGAAACGTGCGATTGTAAAACTGAGCATTAAGATGTGTATTAAAATGAAATTAACCACCGTTTACGGTTTTTGTGTGGTCGTGTAAAGCGCGAGCAGAGCAGTAAACAAACCACCGTTTACGGTCTTTGTGTAGACTTGTGAAGCGTGAGCGGCGCCTAAACTAAAGAAGGTGAGACTTTTCATTAACATATACGAAATTAGCTTCGGCTTGACTTGACAGTCGGTTCAATTTCTGCGTCGATTTGGCGGGCGACTCATTGAACTTTTATCTCTATAAACTAGTTTATGTATGTAATGTGTCCAGGTATTCTGAGTTACTCCGTTTGCGTACTTTCATCTAACAGACAAATAATATAAAAACTTAAAGCGTCCTTTGTGTAGACTTGTGACTTGAGCGGCGCTCGTACTAAGGGAGGTGAGAGTTTCATTAGCATACATAGTACTTACCACAAAATTAGCTTGTTCACACTACACAGCTTGATGTAACTTTTTATTTCGATGTTGCGGCTTGTTAAACAGGTAATCATAGTCATATACTTCGGACTAAGTAAGATAAATAACCGTTCGTGTTCATGTTTGGACTTGGTTCAGATAACCAAGGTTTAGATTAAAGTAACAACCTACACAAAAGAAGGTGGGACTTTTCCCATTAACACAATCAATTCCAAAGGACATTGTTTAACATAGATCAAATAGCACAGGATTACAAAATAATATTAGCATTCACCAATCACAACGCTGCGATTTCGATCCATCGGAGAAGGCATTGACAGTATAAAAGCCCTAGTATTACTACCGTCACAATGAACTCCTCTGCGCCCTGTGGAATTAAACGCGATTGATCTGTTGTTTAAAAGGCAGGTGTCACTCGGATAACCTAAACGTCCCTGCATGTAATAAGTGTATTAGAATTAAAATGTCGCAAAATGAGTACGCTTCATGGTTACTGAGTGTAATTGAAGAACCGTGTAATTCGCAACTCAGAATATGCGATATTTACATAACTTGTTTTTACTCGAACGAAGATGAATCAAATTAAAACGGAAATTTTTAGGTAAACGAACGCTCCTTATTTACAATTATTTAACTTAACTAGGATCCGAGCGCGATCACACACAAAGTAGATGAATCAACTGTTGTAACACATGTTTTAACATGTAGGCGAACTGACATATGAGATGTAGGCAAATCGACTCTAACCGTAGACGAACAGACCGTAGGCGAAATGACCCGTAGGCGAAACAACCGTAATTCACCCTTCGCAGAAGTTACTATAACCACGAGTTACCACCTTCTTCGGGACTTCTCCATCGGTCTCAAGCCATGTCTCGATAAAAGAGGCGTCAAATAACGGAACATTGCGGAGAGATTTCGACCACGCAGCAGAAAATCCACCTTCAGCCATATTGGCTAAACAAGCATGTCGTCCAGGATGCCCGTCCAGCCTCGTTTTGGTGCGGCCCTTGATCCAAGATGGCGGTGCATGATATTGGAGTATTGAACACAAGATTGTTTATTTTTCATCTTAGTGGGTGAACAAAATGCTTATAACTTTGATTTATAATAGCAGACTAATATTATTACAAGTCATTTTTGAGTGAATATTTCAGCTAATTGCTGTAATGTTACTTAAATGTAGCATGAACTTGAACGTAACATTGTTTATTTTGCAATTGGGCAAGTAAATAAAGTCTCATTATTGCTTCTGTGGTGGTAAACTTGTTGCATGAATAGTTTTCAGTTTATATGGTGTGTCGTGGATTGAATATACCAGGCTGCTTGGCTGTTAGTTTGTTTTTTCATGGCTTTGGGTCATCCTCAATATCTTCTACAATGTTGTGTAGTGTCAAAAGTAATTATAAAAGCATAAGGAGAATGCACATGTTGATGAGAGACTGTACAAATGCTTTTTTCACACTAGACAGGAAGAAAATATTGTCAAGTTGCTAACAAATTTGAAGCTTGGAACAGTTGTTTCTTTTTCAGTTCTTTTAAAAACTTTAACAAGTTAGTCTTAAGGCCAGTCTGAATAGGACACTTACAGGTAAGCAATGTTGTTGCCTCTGAAAACAAATGTTGTGATAAATAGAAGTAAAGTGTTGATTTATTCATCTACAAACTCAAACAATTTCCCAACCATTTCTTTTGACTACTGTATTCTCTATAAGAAGCGAATCTATAGAAAACATCAAGCATATATTATAACACAGATGTCTACAACCATGAAGCAACTGGGCCAGTACTTCTCACATATGCCCACTGCCAAGGCACTTCCCCTTGCTCAAAATTAAAGTAATCAGTTAATGCTTCTTGAATTTGAATACCATTAGCTATATAACAAGAACCTCTCACTCTATTTAACCCAACCAGGGCACCTGTGTCTGTGTCAGACACCACACTTCTCCATTCCCCATGCTTTATGTTTCCTGTTTGGTCCATACTGTCTACAAATCCAGATGGACAATACAAAGCTGTCTCAGTTTGCCTCAGCTAGTTGTGGAGACAAACAGTTGCTTGAACTATAAGCTCTTCAGTGTCAACAGATGCAGAAATTGGGTCTTAAACACCTTCCACCTTGCTCTTAAAATACCAAAGGTATTCTCTATTACCCTCCTTGCCCTGGATAACCTATGATTAAATATCCACTTGTGTTCGGTCAATAACTTCCCAGGATAGGGACATTGAAGCCATGGCTTTAAGGCAAAGACTTCATCTCCAACCAAAAAGTAAGGTAAAAGGGAAACATTACACGCTCCAAAGTGTTCAGGTTTGGGGAAATTTATTGAGCCATCTTAGATGGCTTTTCCTATGTCTGAATGTGATAAGACACCACCGTCATTATTGCCCCCATAGTCACCAATATCTACCAAAGTAAAATTGTAATGAGAATCACAAATTGCCATTAATACAAGGCTAAAAAAGCCTTTATAATTGTAATATAAAGATCCACTATTATTTGGACATTTCATATTGACATGTTTTCCATCAATTGCACCAACACAGTGAGGTAAATTCCACAGGTCTTCAAATCCCCTTGAAATTTCTCTGATATTGTTGACAGTTTTTGGCCCATCTTGGATGAAGTCTCTGGCAGCCATGATGACTGCAATCCCACAACTTCCAACACCAACCATCTTATCATCAACCGGCAACTGAGAAGACATTCCAAAACACAGAAAACCTTGCATTGAGAGCCAAAACTTTGTTTGTAGGGATGGGTTATCCGGGTATAATTCAAGAAGGAGATTCAAAGCATCTTTGACAAGCAGGAGGGCTACAAGTGGCACAACAGACCTAGGCCATCATCAAAATGCACCTGCTTATCAGCAAAGTTGACATTGGTTAATTCTAATATGTTGTGTTGAAACTATAATCAATTGTTACATGCGTCTCTGTATGTAGAAATGCATACACAGGGCGTGAAATTAATTTTTTTTCTGATAGCCAGTTGGCTCCTAAATTCTTCAAAGTGGTAGCCAAGTGGAAAAAAGTTGGTCGCCATTTTCAAAGACAAACAAAACCTTTTAAGCTGTCAGCATTCTAGATAGACTCTCCAAAATTAAGTTTGGGAAAAGATCTTGAACATGCTACAAAGTGGACACTAGGATGGACGATATATAACGTTAAAGCTCACTTAATTCCAAGATGGCGTCTAGTTATCAATCGAGATGCATCTGTTACGTTTTGGAAACAAACTTAACGAGGAAGTTTGCGACGGATTTATCTTTGCAAATCTTTTTTTAATTCACTATATCTCTTGGTAAGGTTATGATGAAACATTCAAGTCGCCAATTTGGCGACTAATTTCCAGGATTTGGTCGCCAAAGTGAAAAAGTTACGGTAGTCGCATTGGCGCCTGTATTGGGCACAATTTCATGTCCTGATACATGCTGAGATATATATTTATTTCATGCAGTGTGGTCGGTGAAATAAATTCTTATATTTACAAATCTAAAACATTTAAAAATTACTGAGCCACCCCTCATGACTACTCTATTCTTCATGTGCAGGCAACAGCGTAACATGTTCAGACATGTGGGATGTGGAAAGATGAGTAGTTGGAGGCTGAAAGACATTTGGGAGATTTTGTAGACACAACTGACATTCTCTTGGTGGATCATAAATTGGTAGTTCCTCCCCATAGTTCCACACCTTTAGTGCCACTAGCTGCATGAGTCTTGGAACTTGTCCATCAGGTGAACAGGTAACTCCCTCAATTACTGTTGGGTTGAATGACCTCTGTCCCTCCAGTGCAGATGTTCCCTTGGCAGAAGCCTTCCATTGAAGTTTAAGTTTGCGACCATCTGCTTTTAGTGACTGAATTGTTACTGGTAAGTTATTGTTTACTTTCTTTTCTACCCAAGCTCTAGGGTAAACATCCTTTGCAGTAAGTGACCCATGTGTGCAGTTTTCTCTAATCTTGTTTAGGTTCTTTCTTGCCTCTTGCAAAGCGTCTGTGGTGAGCATTTGGGTATATTCTTTCATTCTTTCTTCGTGAACTTCACGTGCTGCTTCTGTGGTCCTGGTGTTGGTTTTTCCACTATGCAGAATATTTTCAACAAATGTGATTGAGACCTATTTTGATAACTCTGACATGTTATCATTAAGATACAGTTGAGAAAGGTTGAACTGTCTTTCAGCAAGAACATTGTTAACTGGAAGACTGAAAATGTGCTTGGCATAGAACTAAAACAGGTTTGGAGTGGCTTCTTTACTTATGAGTGAGCTATGTGGTGATGAAGCAATTTCTTTGATCTCACTGAGCAATTGTGGTTCCATCAATTTCCAAAGAGTGGCCCATTTAATCAATCCAACTCTATCCTTATACACCAATGTTAGAATGTAGGGTAAGCCCCACCCCTTACACTAAAATATAAAATTGTTGTGAAAAGATAAAAAGTTTTACATAACTTCCAAACTCTGTTAATTCTGTTTTCATTATTTCTTTTCATTTAATCTCTACTACATATTGTTCGAAATGAAGAATAGAAAGAGAAAATTGCTATCTACTTGGCAGTGTTATTCATACAGTATGCTAAGTCTGACATTTTTACACCCATGACTGATAAAAACCCTGAATCACAAAACAGCTTACCTTTACATCGTGTGCATCTATCAGCTCTTCTTCATCTTCAGCAAATACTGTGTCACGAATTGTCAAAGCAATGTCTCTCCAGTCAGTGCACACCTTTTTCAAAGAGTATTGGAAAAGATCTAATCCTAACATTCTTCTCAGTCAGGAGTATTATGAGAAAGACAGGTCAATCAAAACTATGACGTTATGAATTTGAAAAGCAACATTTTACATTATCTAATATCTTACTAGAGCTTGCATTTCTGTTCTCTGACTGTCACCAAAGAACTTTTCTATTAGCCTAATTGTTCAGAAAGAAGAACTTTAAAAACTACATGCTGGCATTAATTTCTACTGTCTTTAAACCTTATTCTTAGTGCGCAAATTATGTACAGGTAAAGAAAAGACCAGTTTGAAGCACACAAATTATGTTAAAACTTGTTTTTTGCATTGATGTACCACCCCAAATAATCTGGTTATATCTGCAAGAAACTTGTTAAAAAATGAAACAATGACACACAAGGAAAAATAGTGATGCATTACTTTTTTGAAGAATGTGACTTGAATTTCAGCTTCATAGGTTGCAAAGTGATGCTGCTGCTGAGGGTAACTATCTGTTTTGGCTTTCCTCTTTCTCTTCTTAGGCTCACTTGCTGCCAGTTTTTCAGACAAACTGCTTAACTCTAGGAACTTTGCCTCAGTCTCCTTTTGCCTCATTTCCCATTCTTCTCTCCTACTGCTTAGAAACTTTTTAAATTCTGAAATAAATGTGTCAATGTATAATTAAAAAGTTTTGTTTCTGTTAAATTTATCCTCTTGTAATGTTATGCTTCCAATCCCAATCCCACTTAAAATTATCTCATATTTTACTCCATCTGACATTGTAGCTCTTTGTATAGCAGTGCAATTTTTGCTTTTATTGATTGTTTTTACATATTTATTAATTAAGGGCCACAGGTTAGACAGTTTTAAATTCCATAGAGTTAAAATAATTTACCCTCATGAAATTAAGTCTACTATTATCAAGCATAATGAGTATATTATTATCATGCATGATTATTTTAAACTTACCGCAATTTTTTTATTTTGTATGCTGGCCTTTCCTTGTTCAAAACCATAATCACGAGGCATCTCTCCTGATTCCAGCATATCAGTTATGTACTACAAAAAAGACAAAAAAGAGACACTACGTTTCCTTGACTAAAAACTAATTTTATTGGCTAAAATCACTGAAATTATAGTGGTTAGGCTGTGCAATGTCCACCTACCATTTTTTGTTCTTCAAAAAATATAATATAACCCACGGTGAGTTCTCTTCCTGAACCTGGGCA